AAAAAAAAAAAAAAAATGGATAGTGGGACATGCTTAAGATGACTTGAGAGAATTTCACTGTAAAATAGTGAAGGACAGAAAATAAAAGAAAAGAAAGAATCTTCCTTCATAAAACAACCATCAAACCATGGGATTACCCGAATCAGACCCTCTCCTGTTATTGGATCCCGCCGCCGTCAAAAGAACTGGTTTTTTCCCCACCGACATTTGCTTTCTTAAATTCCAATTTTTTTCATTCTTTTTCTGCGAAGACAAATTTATTGTTTTTATTTATGGTGAAGGAACAATATGGACAGCAGTGGCTCATATCATAACCGGGGTGATTGGGTCCGGGGTGCTTGCTCTGGGCTGGAGCATGGCTCAGCTGGGCTGGGCCGCCGGCCCCTTCTCGATGCTGTTCTTCGCCGCCATCACTTTTGTGTCTACTTTCCTCATCTGTGATTGCTACTGGGCTCAACACCCCCACCATGGCCCTATCAGGAATACATCGTTCACTCAAGCTGTTCACTCCTTTCTTGGTAAGAATTTTTCTCATAATTTGTATCACAAATAAAGAATCCTTTTTTTTTTTTTTTTTAAGTTATGGGTAGGCCCGTAATCTATTGAATTTGGCTCGATTATTAAACGAACGAGCGTTATTCGCCTTGAATAAGCTTTTGATCTTCGGTTAGAGCTCTCAGCTCTATGTGGATGTAGTCATTTTTTTCTTAGTTATGGGTAGGCCTGTAATCTATTGAATTTGGCTCGATTATTGAACGAACGAGCGTTATTCGACCTTGAAGAAGCTTTTGATCCTGGTTTATAGCTCTCAGCTCTATATGGATGTAGTTTGTTTACCTCTGTATCTTAGCATTGATGGCAAGAATTAGTTCAGATTAGCAACATTAGAATTACAAAAGCAATCTCGATTATTTAGCTTATTAAAGATGGTTTGTAGGTGAAAGGAGTGCTTGGTTTTGTGCACTGCTTATTCAGATAAGCTTCTATGGGACTGGAATTGCCTATGTAATTACCTCTGCCAAATGCCTGAGGTATATATTTTCTACCGTCTCCAAGACACGACTCGTGCATAAGCTTATGCGCATTCCTCATTTCTTAACTCAGTTTCACTTTCTAAAGAAACTATTGAAATTTTATGCTTTGCGCAGAGCAATAGAGAGATCAAATTGTTACCACAAGCACGGACATGACGCGCCTTGTGAGTTCGGACTCACGTTTTACATGCTTCTTTTTGGGGTGGTTCAGATATTTATGTCTCAAATACCCGATTTCCATAGCATGGATTGGCTTTCGGTGCTTTCTGCTGCCATGTCTTTCGCGTATTCTTTCATTTGTTTAGGTTTGGGAGCTGCAAAAGTCATTGGTATGCTCTTTTTTTTTTCTCACATTAGAATTTTATATAAATGGGTGTTGGAATATCACTTGTGAGTTGTCCTACATTGATTCTATAGGAATATTGGGCCTAGTTTATATGTCTAGTGGGCTACTCCTCCCATCACCAATTGTTTTAGGATGGAAGCATTGTGATGCACCTAGGTCCATCCTCTTATAGTGCGCTTCATCTGCATACCCTTTATGAACTCCGTTTTTCGACATTCTTATCCCTAACTTCTAGGAAATGGAGTGATTGAGGGTAGCATCAGTGGAATATCAGCACCCACTAAGATTCAAAAGGCATTGCTAGTTGCTCAAGCACTTGGAGATATTTTATTTGCCTATCCTTACTCCATGATTGTTCTTCACATACAGGTAATACCTAATATTGTTCTTCTCTTACTCTTAAGACTTTTAATTATTATTATTATTATTATTATTATTATCTTTATTCTCACAACATTTTTGAAAAAAAAAAAAATAAATGGGAAGGACACTTTAAGGTCACCTCCACCGGAAGGCGTAACCATGAAAAGGGCAGCGGTAATCTCGATGTGCATCACGACTTTCTTTTATCTCAGCTGTGGAGGCTTTGGATATGCGGCGTTCGGGGATCAAACACCGGGCAATCTGTTGACTGATTTTGGATTTTACGAGCCTTACTGGCTCGTCGACTTTGCGAATGCTTGTGTCGTTGTACACTTGGTTGGTGGATATCAGGTGGTGTATAATATCAGCATAATTTCAAGTTTACTGTTTTATGTTTTTCTCCGCATGTTAGAATTTTCATGGTCAACTCAGTCATGTTTTTTACAAGTCTTCAGATATATACTCAACCAGTATTTGCAGCTATGGATAAATGGTCGGCCGATCGATTTCCAGGCAGCACGTTTGTCAACAAACAGTACATTCTCAAACTTCCCCTTTTGCCGGAATGGAATTTGAATCTCCAAAGGCTGTGCTTTAGGACAGCCTATGTTTCCTCAACCACTGCAATTGCCATGGTACTTCCCTATTTCAATCAGGTCCTTGGAGTTAGTGGGGCCATCACATTTTGGCCCCTGGCTATATATTTCCCGGTCGAGATGTGGTTGGAGCAGAACAAAACCGGACCTTGGACAGGAAAATGGATTGTTCTTAGGATCTTCCAAACTGTTTGTTTCTGTATAACGATGTTTGCCCTGCTCGGGTCCATCCAAGGACTTATAGCTGCCCGTTTCAGCTAAAAGTATGTGACGAATACCCGAAAAACTGCTCATACAACTGCTGTGAATATATATGTATATATGTGTGTGTGTGGATTTGCACATTTTCTGCCATAGGAAAGTGTGTTAAAAATTTGTAGAGTGATATGTAGAATTGGATTATGTATATAGAGATTGTATGTGACTGATTATTGTCTTTTTGGGTTTTTTGACTCAAGAATTGGAGATTTGTATACTATAAATGTGAAAAAAGGTTTTGTATGTGACTGATTATTGGAAGTGGAGATTATAATCAATTTTTTTTTTTTTTTTTTTTTTTTTTTTTTTTTTTTTTTTTTTTTTTTGTATACTATAGTCCTGTGATATTTTTTTATTTGGGAAATTAAACATGATAATAATCAATTGTGGTACTCCCTCCTATTTTTTTTTTTTAAATATCATTTTGGCTTTATTAACTATTAACAAAATAAATATCGTTTTGGATCTTTTGTACATATTTTTTCATTATTATTCTTATTTAGCTAATAAATACATTACGTCTTTTTATATTCACTCTTCATCTTTTCTCAAAACATTCATCTCTTTCTTCATAAAATAAAGTTATTATTGACAAAAAAATATTCTTAATTAATGTGCACCTTCTCAAAACGATATATATTAAAAATATGAGATAGTATACGGACTAAGGTTCAATTGTCACATATAAAAAAGAACATTCAGATAATAATACTTAGACATATATATTGATATAGTTTTAAATTGAAGTATCATATTTTACAAAAACCAATATAATTAAAAACTACGTCAATTAATAATATATATATATATATATATATATA